ACCGATAAAAGACCAGATAAGACGTCACTAAAAAAAAAAGAGTTTTCCAAGCCAGAAACTAGAACAGCGACACCATACGAGAACAAACGCAAATAACATCTCCCTCATACAAAAAACACAAAAGGACAAACAAAACTCCGAAACCAGATAAGGAACCTTTTTTCAATACTCCAAATACTTTACAAACGAAAAAGTCCGAAGGACCATTCATAATTCAAAAGAAAACAAGGAACAACATAGCAACTAGTCAGTCAAGTATTCGTCGAAAGGGAATGATGGAAGATCGTCCAGACTCAGCTCGTGCACATCCATCTGGTCCAAAACAGCCGATTGATGTGACAAAGCCTGCTCATTTTTGGCCAGCTTCTCCTCAGGAATGGGAATCCACTCCTCAATGAACAGCTTGAGACAGCTAACGACCCTCGAAAGCTGAGTCTCAATCTGGGGCGAACAACATCCCAATCAGATAGATACTTCCTCACCTTCTCCAAAAAATCACCAAAACGAGCAGACATAATGGACTCAACAACTCCGCTGACTCCTTGAGAGAATCCTTCAAACGCGCCACCTCAACCTCCAAATCCGACTTCTGAGATAACAGCTCCTCCTCTCGGAAACCATGCCCAGCGATATCTTCCTCGAGGCGCTTCACTTCAGCCTTCAAACCTTGATTATCGGAATCAAGGTTCGACAACGCATCCTCCAAAGCTTTCACAGACGAAAACGCGTTGGATGATCTCTCCCACTCCTCAGCCAAACGATGGCGCTTCGATTCAAACTCGCCCAAAAGACGCTTGCACTTATGATCATATAGACCGCATAGATGATTCCCCCTCATCTTAGCCTACGAGAAAATCCATGTAGTAAGAAACATACAACAAAGATAAGAAGAATGAGAAGACAAAAAATACATACCTGAGCCTTGACCGAAGCCCACTCCTTGAATTTCCGAGCAAAGAGCAGATCGTCGAGGGGGGGGGGGCAAGGAACTCGACGGCAGCCGGAAACCCTAGAAAAGGTGCGCACATTCCTCAGGCGTCACCAAGGAAGGATCAGAGTCGTCAGAAGCAAGTATCTTCCTCTTTTTGGAACCATCGGACGACGCCCGTTCAGCGGCACCCTTCACCACTTCACACTCAGCAGAAAAAGACACCAGTGAGAGAAGCAACCGTCGGAAGAGAGACCACCGGAACCTCAAGTTTAGAGGAATCAACCAACGGTGCTCCCTCGTCACTACCCCCCCCCCCCCAATTCACTGCGAAGAGAAAGAGTAGCAGAAACAGGAGAATAGGTGATATCAGTCAAAGCAGCAGAGGAAGAAATGTCACCCTTTGGAGTATCAACGGGAGCCCCAGAAATTGACTCCCTGATAAAAACAAAGTATTCGGGAATTCGCCTCTTCACCTTTCCCATCTTCTTGGCCGATGGGACTTCTCGATTTCTCTTCAAAGAATCAGCAACCAAGGAGGATCCAGAACCAGTCCCGCGGAAAGCTGAAAAACCAAACACACTCAGCCGTAAAATCTCCGCAAGAAACCACCCTGGGACGGCGAATCAGAGCCAAACGATCGCTTGCCCACGATGGAAGAGGCCAGTGCTTTGCAAAAACCGCTAAAAAGAAAAATAAACTCAGGGGTCAGTAAAATCCAATGACGAGGGCAACCAAAATCAGAGGACAAACAAGCTACCAAGTCGCGAATTCCATTTGGTCCTAAAGACAGGATCAGCCACGGAAGTCGAATTTATACAAGCCAAGAAATACTTCTGTTGCCACATGTCAGCTTTAGACGGCCCCCGGCCAGCCAGGAGACGACAACAAGCCTTAATGTTAACGGAGAAATTCTCATCTGTTATCATATTCATTTGAGAAATCATCTCAAAATATTTGGGTTTAACATCAACATTCGCTTCCGCACCAAGGACCAGAGCAACCACCATATTACGGATAGCGGCCGGGGACACCTGAGAGATAGCTATATCACGTCTCTGGGCATAGGAAGTCAGCAACCAAGGAAGCGGGAACCACAACCGCGACTGAAGAAAGAATTGGGTGTATAAACACACCCAATCGGGGGGTGCTAACCAAGGCCTCTCCTCCGGAAGCAGAGCCCGCATCTCAATCTCCTGAGAAAAGCCGCATATTTTCCGCATGCGCTTCAAGGCATCCTCATCAACAAGGGAGGACTCTACGACCCTCTGGTTGCCTTCGATAGGATCGTCACCTGAATCTTCCCCAGAACCATTGCCAGAATTATTACCGGGAACGGGCGACGACAAAGCGTCCATAGAATCAAACTGTCCACTAGGCTCTGCGACAAAAGAGCTACTACCAGAGACGCAGAATCAGTCACTCCCGGAGGAAGTAAGAGAGGCATCGGCAGAAGAACAGCATTGTAAGTCGACGACGAACGAAGAACCTCTTCGACATCCGCCATTTCAGGGATCCTAACTAGCGATTCAAGACTATAATCCATCGGAAGAAGAAAAAGCTAGAGAAATTAACGACGAAATCGCGAAAAATAGCAAGTGGAGAAACCCTACATATAATACAGTCCAAAAAGGGAGAAAGAATACCTTTTAAAGAGAAAGGAAGCAGCAGTACCAGAGTAACACAGCAGTGAGACGCAGGAAACAGTGGAGGAAGCAAGGCGACATAATGACAGGCTCCGACGTTTATTGATGTGATTGAAGGATCTCCAAGCGACGAAAATTGGCGACCCATTATAGCAGACGCAATTCATGAAGAGAAGAAGCCACTAAAAAATCAAGAGAGACCTAGCGCGTAGGCCGCACCAACCGCCTATAGTAGACGGAAAATCAGCACAAGCAACCAAACAATGATGGACGCCGAATCAGACACATACCTACCGAAGGATAGAAGAAAGAATCTCGAGCGAGTATAAATAGAAAGAGCATTCAATGTAAAGAGGAGGAGAAAAAACAACAGAGCTTAGAGAGTAAAAGTAGCAATAACATATTTTCCTAGTTTTGTCATTCGACGACGTGTTCTTTGTATTTACTTTCGGTTCAGATTACACTTCAATAAGCGAAACCTTGACCCCTCTCTAATCTCACATAAACACCTAACTAAGTTTCCTAACCACCTATTCCCGGATTTAGGATTCAACACTCCTGTATGGCTTATGCCCAACAACCATTGACTATAAACGTGTGCGTGGAGTTATCAGATTTCAATCCTTTATTCTCAATCCCCTCTGACAAATCATCCACTCATCCAAGTCCCCATCTTTAAAATACAGATTCAACAATGTGTTGTAAGAAACAATGTCTCCACTCCCTCTACCGCTTCTCACAAGCTCACTCATACGCCTCCTCTGCCCTTCCGGCCTTAATCAAAGCACTAACAACTACATAGACATCCTCAAAAGGAATGGTATATAGCTCAATATAAGATACAAAACAAACGGTTTAAACTTGGTCTAGCTCCAAAGGAGAGGGCCTTAAGCTTTGTATTCAAATAACTAGTGGAGAGGGCCTTAAACTTTGTATATGTTAATAAATATACAAGAAGAAATCATATATATATATATATATATATATATATATATATATACATATATATATATATGTGATTTCTTCTTGTATATTTATTAACATATACAAAGTTTTGCAAACCCAAACCAAAGAGATCTACAAAAGATTCTTTCAGTTACATAAAATGTTCTCGTAGTGCTTTTATTTTATTAAAACAAAAGTACAAAATATAACTTACCAAATTTTAAGTATTCTATTATAATATTTTTTTCACTCATTCTAACTACTTCATTAATTTATTTTGTCATAATAATTATGTAAGTATGTATTAATTTTCTTTCAAGTGTTGTATTATATATTTTATCATTAAGATATTAATTGCTCTTATTTTTCAGCATTAATTATTTTTATCATTTAAAACAAACATAAAAATTACTTAATTATTTATTCTAACTAATTAATACTTCGATTATTCACTAAGAATTTTATATTTTATTTGAACTAGTTAATATAAGAATGCGTTATTTTAGTTAATTGATAGAATATTGAAAGATACTATATATTTTTTGGAAGACAATCTAATATGTTTACATGTCTAAAATATAGACAATCAACTCACCACGTAATCTCAAATATATAGTTTGTAAATATTTATAATACAAATATTTATCTTTACATCATAATACAAGGATTTATCTGTATATTAGATGTTTCACTTTTTAATAATTTTAAATTTAATATTCACTATTTATAAACATATATAATTAATTAAAACTAGATTCATGAAAATCATATATAACTATAATAAGGAATTTGTCGATTGTTTCCTTAAATTTACTAAATTAATGGGTTAACCTACTTTATTTTCATAAATATAAAATTATATTGATCTAAGCTGTAAAATATAAATTAGTTAATCAAATATTATTTTACCCATATTTCATATGAATAATAGCCCGATACAAATCCAAGCCATAAATATATGATAAGAAATATGGATGATATAATTGACGGTTCCAAAAAACTACTCAATGTAATCTATAAAACTATTGTATTTCAAAATGGCACATGAAATAATTATTTAATACGGCTGAATATTAAAAATACATACTACTATTTATATAAAGTAAATATTAACTTACAAAAAAAAAACTGCAACGAATATACGGATCAAACTCTAGTTATATATTGAAAAGAGATTCCAGAGGCCAAAACGTAAAGCAACTTAAAAAAAAAAAAAACACAATAGTGTTGCCACTTAACTTCCCATGATCACATTCCTACCATGCAGGGGCGGACCTAGGTAACAACTGGGTTGGGGGCAAGTGCCACATAATTTTTATTTTTCATTAGTTTTGTTTAAAAAATCAAAAAAGATCAGACGGTTAGTCTTCATTACTCCATGCACCTCTAGTTGAAAATCAACTATAATTTTGCTATATAATATATTTTGCCCCATATTATTATAGATCCTAGATCCTCCCATGCTGCCATGTATAACCCTGCTATAGTACATTCTCAGTTTTCGCGTTTAGTAATGCGCAGCAACCGATTATATGAACGACTATCAACCCGATAAGCGCCACAAGGAGAAAAATATCTGCTTTTAACCAATCTAGCTTGAGATTTGCAAGTAACCCAGCTTTGCAAGAGTCACAACTGTAGCACAAAGTGTTTTGATCATTGCTCCATCGTAGACAATCCAAATCTACATACAAAGCTATGGGACTTTTCCAGTATGTAGGGTTCACGAACGTGTAGCCACATTTTGTTGGGGGCTTGCAGCAACCAGACTGGAAAACAAACAAACAGGTCAGATTTGAATACAAATCAAAATATGGGGGCAAAATAGCTGTTCAGCTTGACTTGATTAAGTGCACATAGTGAAATAATCAATAAAGTTTTGGTCTTTATTTATTTTTAACCATTTAAACAAAAAAAACAATTTCCAGTTTAAAATAATCTATAATTATAAACTACATTGACAGGAATGAAAGTTAACCTTTATAAAAGAAATTGTGAAAGATCCATTATAATCTCAAAAAAATAACGAAAAGAAAGTTGATATTTTCATGTAAATTGCAACTTTTTATAATCATCTTAACAAGCATATCTAGTTCAAGAAAACCTAACAAGCATATCACCAATTCTATAAGCATTTTGCATTAATACCCCCATTCCTTTCATTTCACTCGATTTACCCCTCTATATTTGTTTCTATTTTTTATGCCCTAATTTTAACGACTTGACACACTAGCAAAAAAAAATGAAGCAATAAATTAACTAGACAGCACAGAAATAATAAACCCGAATGCATAAGACCGTAAATTTTCTTTTTGCATTTTTTTACAGCAAAATAAAGAAGAAATTTCAAATAAAACATACTTGAATGGGACTAAGATAAGCATTGTAGAAATCTTGAGCCAAAGTGAACCTCTGGTTTAAGTCAGGACAAATACTAGTGGCACTCAAACAAGTACGAATCCTTTCCCATTTGTAAGATTTCAGAACTCGTCGACGTAAGAAACCAGAAAAATCTTCAAGACTATACTCAAGATAAGCTCTGCTTGGTTGTGGACGACCAGAGCTTCTAAGGGTAACCATGTAAATAAATCCGACAAGAACACCTAAAAGTACGATGAGAGCCAGCATGGCGATTAAGTAAACAATGAGAAGCCAAGTGATCCTCCAGAACCCTCCTATGAGACCAGCGAGACTCACAAGAAGTATCAAGATTCCGAGGATTATTACTGGCCATTGAAGAAGCATGACGCATGAGTTTACTGGTCCGATGGTTAGCCAGATTCCGGCGCCGATAACCAGAACTGAAAGGACGACGGCAATGATGTTTATGTAACCGATTACATTGTTGCTCAAAGACATCTTTTTGTTTGTTTAGCTCTGTGTGGTTCTTGAAACAGATTCAGGATGAACGTAATAACTTAAAGTGAGAGAGTTCAAATAAATAGTACAACGACACAAGAGCGAGAGAGAGGTGATGGTGAAATGCATTGTATATCAACGGGATAACGTAACTAATTGAAAAAAAGAAGGTGAAATCATTTCCTTAACTTAGCTATTCTGCTTTATCTTTTCTTACAAGAAAAAGAAATTAAATCAATACCTATTTATTACTTGTTTGAATATATTTTTCAGAAATAGTATATATTTCCAAAATTTTAGAAATATTAAGATTTGATTTTAGTGAAAATATATAAAATATAAGTAGATGGCACACAAAAAAACAAAAGCTAAGTGTCGTGTTTATTTAATATGTTCTGATCTTACTTTATATTTAAGAACATATGATCTTACTTTTAGTGATTTAAGCAGAATCATGAAATAAGTAAGTGTAGATAACAAAAGTTTTGTTTAAAAACAAATCTACGTTGTTCACTAAATCTTGCCCAGACTTCTGATTATATTTGTGCTTTTAGAAAAATGATAAGATCTTTCTTTCCCAGAATTTGGTGCAAAATGATGATGGTGAGTGTCTTTACTATAATTAATTAAATTTTTTCCTTCTAAAAAAATAATAATTAACTTCTCTTTTTTGAGAAATGGCCTTCTAATAATTAATTAACTTTTTATTACCGTTTGTATAAGATGTTTGATAAAAGCTGTTATTGATACTCCCTCCGTTTCAAATTATATGTCATTCTAGAATAAAATTTTTGTTTCAAAATAAGTGTCGTTTTATAATTTCAATGCAAAATTTATTGATTTTAAATGTTATTATATTTTTTCATTGGTTGAAAAGTGGTTAGGTGTATAGGTAATTGTGTTTTTATTTTGAAAATATGTAAAATTAATTGTTTTTTTAATCTGTGTGCAAAACTCTAGAATAACAATTAAATTGAAACTGAGAGAGTATTAAATTGTCAACACGGCATTTAAAGATATAATCACATATATTAAAAATATAATGAAAACGTAACGAGAAATATATAAGATCAATTGCTAATTTGCTAATAAAAAAAACAATTAAAAATCTCCAAATAAGCAGTTTCTTTTTTTCTGAATGCAGTGCACTTACTGAAAACTGACATTTCTTTTCTAACAAAAAAATAACACCTATATTTAATATGTCTTGTGTGGATACGTGCTTGAGTGGATACATCTGCATTTGCTTGAATTTGGAAAAGTACATTGTATGCTTCGTGACAAATAACTTTAGCGTAAGCAATATCTATATTTATTGAGCAAACAGCAATATCTATTTATTTGTGTTACATTACAAGATTACTTACCTAACTGTTTCAGCAAACAATTTTCTAAATTACTTCTCAATACGGCTAATAAATTGTAAAAACGCGCATTGATAAAGGCAAAACACACAATTACGTAATCTCTTATAAAACCATTAACAATGGATGTTTTTGGATAAATAGTTTTTTTCTAACATTTGTATTAGATAAATAGTTAAACTCATACAATAAAGACAATGATATTAAAAATATATAAAAACAACTTGGATCAAGTGATTAACCATAGTTAAATTAAAAAAAAAAACATATTCAAAAGTTGTGTAAGATTTCAATAACGAAACTAAACAAGTGTGATCGAGTGATATGCTACACTTGAAAATGTGCTAAACATTCCGTGTTTGAAGTATACCAACTCAGATTTATCCGCTTGTATGGCAACGTGATATGGGTATTTATCTCTACTGTAGATATGTCTAACGTTGGTGAACAGACCTCATGAAATTTGTCAATTGAACTTCGATCCGCCGTATATCCTCTGGTTATAAAAAAGATTCCAATAACAAATAAAAATTGGCAAACTCTAAAACGACAAAAACTAACCTACGAGATTTCTATCGAGTCAAGGTGATGTATACATTAGTTATTGATATCTTCCGAAAAAAAAAATATTATAACTATTTAATATTAACTATTTTATAATTAAAAAGTTATATCTATAATATCAAAATTTATCATTTTATATTTTTAATAAATGTTTATCTATTTGAATAAAATATTTTTCTAATCAATAATTGTAATTAATATGTAATTACAAAACATTATAACAAATAAAAAATTATGAAATAGAAAAGAACGTTTATGAACATAGCTAGAATATTGTACATAATCTATCTGTGAACAATCCAGTTAACCCTAAACTAATACATCTGTGGCCAAAATCAATCTCAATGGCTATATTTACAAGAGAGAGACACAAGAATTTTTACGTAAGGGTAACACAAGAAACTGTTTTAACATACTTTTCTCCATACTTTACACTGAGTTGTCTGAAGATAGAACTCCGTTGATGCAGACGAAAGAAGACTCTCTAGTTCCAAGAGAGACTCCTCAAGTCTCCACTAGAATCTAGTATAACAATTTCTCTCTAAAAACCTTTCAATATCTTAAGAATCTGTTACTGCATTGCATTTAATAGCAGCTTTGATTCTGTGATCTGTCTTCCTCGCTGCCTGATAAGATACCGTCATCCTTAAACCCGACAACACTGCCCGTCTTGCCGACGATGGAATCTTTATTCCTTTGTTGTAACACAGCAATAACAGCTTCGAAGCGCACACAAGCCGCCCATCTTTGCATAGATTATGCACAACAGAAGTGTAAGTAAACTCATCTCTAATCTCCATCGACGCAAACAACCTCATGGCACGGTCTACATGACCCGCTTTGCACAATCCATCAATCAAACAGTTACAAGTGACGACACTAGGCTGCATCCCCTTCTCTCCCATACATGCCAAATGCTTCTCAGCTCCTCCCGTATGTCCAATGCTCAACAAACCATTGACTATGATCGTGTGCGTGTAGTCATCAGGTTTCAATCCTTTATTCTCTATCTCCTCCAATAAATCATCCACTGCATCCAAGTCCCCATCTTTAAAATACAAATTCAACAATGTATTATACGAAACAATGTCTCCACTCCGTCTACCGCTTCTCACCAGCTCATGCATACACTGATACGCCTCCTCTGCTCTTCCCGTCTTAATCAAAGCACTAACAACTGCACAACTCGCGTACCCGTCAAACGTATACCCTTCTTTCTTCATCTTCAAGAACAGCTTAAGCCCTTTCTCTATCATCTTGCTCTTAAAATACATTTTAAGCATCGTCGTGTATGTGACAGCATTAGGAGTGTACCCCGCTTCCTCGAGCTCCTTCAGCAGCCAGTTTGCAGAGCTAACTCTTCTTGATTTACAAAGACCGTTGATGAGAATGTTATAAGTCATTAACTCGGGTTTAACCTGGGTCTTTATATGCTTAAAGAGCTCAACAGCATTATTTATATGCCCGCTCTTGCAAAGCGCGTCGAGGAGAATGTTGTAAGTATCAACACCAGGAGTCAGCCCAGCGAGATGAACATTCTCGTTAAGTATCCGAAACGCGTCTCCGTGTCTCCCGAGCTTGAAGTAGAGAGACATGAGAGTGTTGTAACTATACATATCTGGAGATAAACCTGAGTGAAGCATTTCGTCGAACAGTTGGTGTGCACGAGTAAAGGAGAGCTGTTTCGCAGCTCCAGAGATTAATGAGTTGTATGTAGAGACGTCTGGTTTGATTCCTGCTTGTTTCATCCGATGGGTTACGGCGTAAGCTTGGTCGATTCCGAGGAGACGAGAGTAGCCGTTGATTAAGGTGTTGTAAGTGATGACGTTGGGAAGAACGCCTAATCTGATTCCGTCTATGAGTAATGATTCTGCTTTCTCTAAGTTACGAGATTTGCAGAGGGAATCGATGCAGATGTTTAGTAGCTTCGTGGAGGTTCCTGGATATTTCGTTAATCCACGAACCATTTTTCTCCATGAATGGTGGGAAATATTACGGTTTTTAAGTGGTTTTGTAGCGTGGAAACGTGATGAGCACGGATTTTGACAGATATGGAAAATATAAAGATTTCAGAATTAACGAAAACAGAAGAATTCAGAATACCAAAATGGTTCTGTTTAGAGATTATCACTTTGTTAAAACTATAATTACAAATAAAGTAATAATCGTTGTAGAAAAATGGTTATTAGTAATCTATATATAATATCAACCCAGTTTTTGGTGATCAATCATGTCAGCATTTTTTTATAGAAGAAGAAACTCGAGAAAATAGTTTTTTTAACCCAAATAGGTTTGGACTTTGTCCCTTTAGGTTAAATTCATTAATTTATTGTCCCATTAGGCTAAATATTTTCTAAATGGCAACAATGCCCTTATTCACTTAAAAAAGCGTTTAAAATTTTTTTAAAAAAATTTTCAATTCGTGGAAAAAAAAGATGAAAGAAACTGCTCTTTCTACCGGGATCGATCGATCCCAAAATCAGACGATCGATCCGCCCGGTCAATCTCGTGAATGAGCAGTTTATTGAAAAAAGGCGGAGCATAAAGGGATCGACTGCTTTAGAGACCAAACGATCGTTCCGATCGATCTACGAGGATCGATCGATCCTCCAGATCAGATCGATCGATCCCGAATTGGTTTGCTCGGTTATACTCGGTTTAAATCACACTTGATTTAAACCGACCATACACGATTTAAGAAGAGGATTTCGTGTTTTAGGGATCAAACCCCTCATTCTCTTCTCTTCCACCACGAAAAATGGGTGATTTTTCTCTTAATTTCACTAAACCCTAACTCACTCAATTTTACTCTGATTTGAACGATTCTTGAGCCTAACCCAAACGTTTTCGCGAGCTTTGTCCGAATCTATCACTCTCTTGTTCGATCTGTGAAGGTATTAAACTCAATCTTCAATTTAAAAGTTCAAAAAAATATGAAAAAGTTGAATTTTTTAAGTTTGTTATGGTGTTTTGGCTTCAAACATGTGTTACCGGTTATGTTTAGGGACAATTTCGTACCTACCCCATGCCTTAAATCATAGTTTTAGGATAGATTTATGAATTTGAAGTTTTGTTCTTTAAGAAAAAAAACAAAATTTAGGATCTCGATTGCTTCATTATTATATGTGTAGCATTGGTGTTGAAATTGATTATTGATATATATTGTCTTTATTTTACAGCTATGGAGTTGGAGTTGCCTAGGCGTCTATGCAGAAGGTTTGGAACCTCAGACTAAGAAGATTAATAACAGCTGCCGAATGAAACTTTTCGAGCTTCTACAGTCAAAATTGGAACCGGAATTCAAAGAAGTCAAGAACGATCCCCTTTTCTCGCATATTATAGCTATTGAGAAGAATCGGCTGAAGTTTTTTGCGAGGGTGGTACACGCGTTCCTCTGTAAGGAGTTGATGACAAGCTTGAAGCATGAGAAATGGTTTACATTTGCGGGGAGGCCTCTGCGTTTTGGATTGCAAGAGTATCATGATGTCACTGGTTTGAAAGTAAAACAAGATAAGACCAGTGGGTTATTGAGATGGACTGATGATGGTGGTTTTTGGAGCAACCAGATAAGGACGCGTGGGAAAATCAGTGTGCAGGATATTAAAAAGGAGTATTTGGATGACTGTAGCACCTGGACTTTTGTTGATCGGGTGAGGCTGGTCTGTCTATGTGTCATTATGGGTGTGGTCTTTGGGAGGGATGAGAAGGTGAATATCCCTCTTGAGTACATGAAGTTGGTGATGGATTTTGAGAAGCTTCGGAAGTACCCTTGGGGTTTCCACTCGTATGATTTCCTACTGAAATCGATGGTAAAGGCAAGGCGTAAATTGGAGCAGAAGGAGGGGTACCTGATGGAGGGGTTCTTGTATGCTTTCCAGGTTTGGGTTATGGAAGCTATTCATGCTTTGGGAGAGATGTGTGGGATGAAGGTCACAGACGATTTCATGGGTCCTCTGTGTGGTAATTGGACTGGATGTGCAAAATGTTCATATGAAGACATCATTGGGGTTGAGACATTATTTCCAGAGAAGGTATGAATAGATTTCTGTAATAAAAATGTTTGATTGTCTTGTTTATTTTAGTAATGATTTTAATCTCGTCAAAATTATGTATTACAAATGTTTTATTGTCTAAATCATTTTACTAATGATTTTAATCTTTAATAGGGGATTTTGCACTCATTCCTCGAAGTAGGCGGAGATGGAGTGGTCCTTTTGGGTTCAGATTTTGCAAGGAAGGATGAGAAGAAAGATGAAAGAGTTGAGCGCTTAGTGGATATGATCAAAGGAAACTACGATTGGAGCAATCATGTTTGAGGAGTATCGGAAGGAGGTCCAGGGTCTGAAATGGTGGAATCTGAGGAAGAGAAAGAAGAGGAAAGAGATGCCGATGCTGATACGGAGATTGGTGAGAGTAGTCATGTTACACCGGATGTGGATTCAGGTACAAAGAAGAGAAAGAATGCTGACCAAGGAGCAGATGCAAGGAAGAAGAAGTTGTTGTGCCAGCTAGCTGCTTCAAACAAGGGGAGCGGGAGCACTGACACAGACATGAAGCAATTCTTCGAGGGTTTGCTAAAAGCTTCATTTACTGCGTTTGAGGGGAAAATTGTACAACAGGTCTCCGATAGAATGGACAAGTTTGAGACAGAGGTAACAAGCAGGCTCGGGAAGTTGGAGAGTGAGGTTTCACAGCTCAGGACCACGTTAGTCCTCTCCGAAATATCAGGAAAGAGTGATCAACATACCGGTCCTAGCAAGAGTAGAGTAGACACAGCTCCTGCCTTCTCCCAAAAAGACACAGTTCCTGCCTTCTCCAAGAAAGACAGCGCTCCTGCCAAGACCAAAAAAGTCACAGGTCCACAAACAAGAAAGGTAACGAATAAGAGAAAGGGTTAAGGATTGTTGGATCTTGGAACTAGTTGTTTCGAAGTAGCTTTTTGGACCTAGGATGCTGGAACTAGGCGGTATGACATTTTGTTTGTCTAGTGTGGTATGTTTGCATTAGGAACTTGTCGGATGTATGTGTGGTATTATTGATATGTAATATCTGGTTAGACATTTTGTTTGTCTAGTTTGGTATGTTTGTAATATGTATTACTGTTGTGTATTATATTTTAAATTAAAACCTTATTACTTTTTATGTGTGTCATCAGGCTGTGAAAAAAAAAGAATTAATCATCGATGATCCGCTTATTGATTTATCTGGAGTAAATTTGATTCTATCACCAGGAATTGATGTGCATATGAGTACACAAGATTACTTGCAAAGCAGCTTTCCGGACCTTTCACATGATACATTTGTAGAGGGTTTTGATCCTTCTCAACCTAAAACCGATGATCCAGGAACAGCACATAAGATACCATGGCCAGAATTAAATGACCGCCAAATAGATCGTGCCCACGAACCTGATGCACCATTGGTATATGTGTCTGATGAAGATTTCGATAAAATGACGAACTGGCAGAACTTAAGAACGTAAGCTAATTACTAATTTATATTTTTGTATGATGTTGTCACTAATTTATATTTTTGATAACAGGAGTTTACAGGTTGGTCCATGTTTATTAGTGGATGATATATGTAAGCGTGTTATGTCTGTAAGTTCGTGGCTTCACAACATTGTAAGTATCCAACTCCTGATTTGTAATAAAATTTTGGTATTATATAAATTGTTTACCAATATCAGCCTTGTTATTGTAGGAGATTGATGCTATAATGTTTTCCGTGAAAGAACAACACTTGGGCGATGGAAAACAGATCGTGTTGCTTTCATGTCATGCGAGTTCAGCGACCTCATTAGAAGAGAGTACATCAGTTTTACAAGGGATGGTGCGAAGAAGTACAAGATGGATGTGTTGCTACAGGAATATGGTAAAGGTGAACTGCCTGCTCACGGAAAAACAAGAAAGTTGTGGAGTGTTGATGTGGATTGGATGTACGTTCCAGTCTGGGTCAAAAAGAATCATTGGATCTCGTTATGCATCAGTTTTGTGAGTAGGCATATCGAAGTGTTTGATTGTGCGGGTTTACAGAAGTACAGGGAGGTGGAAGCATTCGCAGTACTTATTCCTAGGATCGTCAAGGCAGTTCAGTCGGTGACAAACCAGAAGCACCTTACCATCAGTCCTTACGCTGTTAGCTATACCCCTATGCATAATCTCAACCGACGTGCTTGTCATTGTGGTGTATATGCTATAAAACACATCGAACGCCATGTGCGTGGAATGGATTTATCACTGATGGATGATGATAACATCAAGACAGCTCGAATAAGGATTATTTGGGATCTCTTTGAAGCAGGTAATGATCCAGAGATGTTAGAGAGGATGTCCAAGTATGAGCCTCCCACATATAAGAGTAATGAATGTATTGACATTTCATAATCAAGTTTTTGGTGTTTTTAGAATGTTTAAGCTATTGTATAACACTTGTTTTTTTTAGGATGTTTAAGCTATCTTTACTTGCGGCAAGATTGAGTTTAGTGTAGATCCTTTACCACAAATGATAACTTATACCCACAAACCACGAAAGAAACTGGTCTATATGATAGGATCGATCGATCCCAAAATGAGACGATCGATCCACACGGTCGATCTCTTGACTGAGCAGATTATTGAAAAAAGGCGGAGCATAAAGGGATCGACTGATTTATAGTCCAAACGATCGTTCCGATCGATCTACACGGATCGATCGATCCTCCAGATCAGATCGATCGATCCCGCATTGGTTTGCTCGGTTAAATTTGGTTTAAATCACACTTGATTTAAACCAGGCAAACACGATTTAAGAAGGGGATTTCGTGTTTGAGGGATCAAACCCCTCATTCTCTTCTCTTCCACCACGAAAAAGGGAGATTTCTCTCTCAATTTCTCTAAACCCTAACTCACTCAATTTTACTCCGATTTGGACGATTCTTGAGGCTAATCCACACGTTTTCGCGAGCTTTGTCCGAATCTATCACTCTTTTGTTCGATCTGTAAAGGTATTAAACTCAATTTTCTATTTAAGAGTTCAAAAAAATATGGAAAAAATGAATTTTTTTAGTTTGTTATGGTGTTTTGGCTTGAAACGTGTGTAATAGTTATGTTTAGGGACAATTTCGTACCTACCCCATGCCTTAAATCATAGTTTTAGGATAGATTTATGAATTTGAAATTTTGTTCTTTAAAAAAAAAAATTAGGATCTCGATTGCTTCATTATTATAGTTCTGTTCAATGTTAGGATGACATAGTTTTAGGATAGATTTATGAATTTGAAATTTTGTTCTTTAAAATAAAAAAAATTAGGATCTCGATTGCTTCATTATTATATGTGTTTTGCCTTCAAATAAATGATTTGATACTGTTTATTTGCAGAAAAAATGGCAAGAACAAGAGGAAACAATAATGAGAAAGAAGCAGAAGCGGCAACACAGAGTGACATAGCAGCTGGTTCGACCTCCGCTCAGTGCGAGAGTATTGCGCCTCAGGAAGCAGCCCCTTGGCCTCGGCAGCCATTGACTCCATTCTCTGAACCCAGAAAAGTTATCTTTAGTAAGACGGTGTTGAAACAATGGTCACCATACAAAAACCGGGACTACAATGCTGCTTGGAGTGATTATCATTGCATTCTCTACAATGGTTTGCTGCGGATGACATTGAAACCAACAAAGTTCATCTGTGACTTCACTACAAGGGAGTTGGGAATCCTGCGTGATGTGAAGAAGTGTGGAAAAACATGGGACTTGGGACTCTTGGCTATGATCCTCAACCAATGTATCCAGAGTTAGTTATACAATTCCTCTCTTCAGTTGAATTGCACTACAAGTCCGAGGCAAAGAAGGTTGCTAGCGAAGGTAAACTTACATTCCTATCCAATGGACTGCTTTATGAGATGTCTATACACGAGCTGTGTACACTATTCGGATTTGAGACCAAATATGAGGGATGTTCTTTGCCCAAGTTCCCTTGTGCTTATATGTTGTGGCATGAGATTGCAGACGATTCTACTGTTTCTAGGGAAGCTAAAATTTCTATGGTCAGAAACCCGGTTTTGCGAGTGGTTTTAAAATATTTGGGTCATCTTCTATTGGGAAAAGAAGAAGCAGGATCACTTACTGAGGATGAAGCGCAGCTGATTCACTATGGGCTTCCAGTAAATCTCAGGCCAAAGTATGGCATTAGACAAGAACCTCCAGCAGAGCTTTCGGTAAACATGGGAGCATTGTTTGCTCAGATGTTGTTTGAAAGGAAGTTTAGAGGTGTTCGTCCTCTTAATAAGAAGCCTTTGGAGGAGTCTATTGGTAGTCTACTTACTCGTATCTTCAAATACCATAAAATAGATCTTTCGAAGACTCCTTGTGTGGATACGATTGTCAGATTTGATGTCCAGTTTTTTCAGAACACCAGGACTCTCCTCCCTGGTAAAATCTATCGTTTTACCAAACCTGATGGCACCATTCTTCATTGCAAGCTTCCACAGCCCAGCATTACATCTCTGACGTCTGAGGAGAACTTAGAATTCATGCCTCCTGCTGAGCTTCTTATCACGCCTCCTCCACCACCTTCAAAACGTTGTCGTGGTTCTTCTTCTTCGGGTCCTGCTCAATGTGAGGATGACACCATTCCTGGTATCGCAGTGGATCATACTCCAGACCCTACCATGGAGTATTTGTTACCTGCATATACTGGTCAGTTTGATTCTGGACCCCCACCCTTAGATGGTACGCATCAGCAGCAGTTCGCCTGGACTGCAGATACCCTGGTGAAGCTTTCGACGATGATGCAGACTGTTTGGGGTGCACTTGCAAAGATTAGATGTCCACCACCTCCTGCCTGCTGCCGCGCTCCAGAGGCTTCAGAACCTGCTGATACTACAAAGGCAGATGACGCGGAAGATGCACCACCCGGTGGAGCAGCAGATGCAGAGCGATCTTCACGCTTCCATATAAGCAGACGTGCACCAGGACAGAGTAGGAGTTGCAGTCCTGACGACCACTGCTGATCATTTATTTCCATGTTTTTTTTAACTTTTAATGATGTTTATGTTATGTTTTTATTTACTCGGTTTGTATTCTAACTTGAAGAATCAGGATTATGAAGGAAATGTTGGTTTATGTTGCAATGTTGTGTTTCATTTCAAAGAAGTAGGTTAATAAGTGAAATTTAGAATGAACAAATTCAGATTTATCTAAAGAAAACCAAGAAATCGATTTGGGATAATTTTCCACAGAATCGATCGTTCTATAGTAAGGATCGATCGATCCACATGAGATCGATCGTGTAGATCGACTGAATTCGATGAGATCACACGATCGACCGATCAGATCGACCTATTGCTTTGTAGATCGATCGATCTCAGGCGACTGAGCATTTTCGATGGGTGTATATTTGTTTGAAACTGAATGGGTTTTTACAGCATATCATATGATCAACAAGAGAATATAACAATCTTGTTTGAAACTAAATGCGTATTACTAGAAACATGAAGCAAACTTGTTCGAAACTGAAACATGAAACAAACTTGTTCAAAACAAACCAAATACATTCTGAAAATCTGAAACAAAGTGGTGAAAAAAACAGTAAACAAAGCGACTATATTGGCATCTTGCAAGTTGATCTGTTGTGGCTACCAAAACCACACCTGCTGCACCTGCGAAGCTTAGGTCCCTATGATCCTTGTGATGATCGAATTTTGTCTTCAACGGTTTCATATCTTTTTTTTCTGTTTCTTCCAAGAGACCTTCTTGTCTCAAGCGGTAACACTTCAGAATTTTCTACATCTTCAGGGACAGACCAAGCATCTTCAGGAACAGCAATGAGATTTATGCTTTCTTGATAAGCTTCTCTTCAAGCTCCCATGGTGTACATCAAATCAGTTAACGTGTGTGGTTGCTTGCCAACAGAGAAACCAGCTTTAATCGCGTGTCTACAAGGAATTTTCAAGAGGTTGTACTTCCCACATGAGCACATCTGTTTATCCAAATCAACGAAGCAATCAATTGTATCACCCTTAACAAGGAACTGATAGTCGTTTACAGGGTAAACTACAAAAGTTTTACCTTTCTGGATTCTCCTATCAATCTTTACCTCCACATCTATGGTCAAAGGATGCGTATGCTTTGAAATCTTCCTCTTACGCTTTAAAAACCATCGTGTTAGCATTTCTCTAATGCTGTCCAGCAAAGGAATTACCGGAAACTCTCTTGGCGTGCGCAAGGCAGAATTAATGGATTCAACAGGATTGGTTGTTCTAATGTCATACCGGTACCCAACAAATTGACATCTAGCCCACTTTCGAACATCAGCTTGCGTTAGATAAGTTCCTATTAGTGGACTGATATTGCAAATATGAGCAAACATCTTCTTGAAATCAGCCACTCTATAAGCCTTTGAAGCCTTAGAAATCAACCCAGCTAACCCATTTCCTCTGTGATTTGAAATCACATTGTTCAACAAGTGATGAATACAAATCCCATGTTTTGCTAGCGGATACACATTCTCAAGTGCCTTCCCTATAGACATTTGTCTGTCCGAAATAAAAGCTAGCTCCATATCATCAGCAATAACTTCTTTCAATCGTCTCATAAACCATTCCCAAGCATGATCATTCTTAGAGTCTACTACCCCAAAAGCTATAGGGTACAAATTTGAATTTCCATCTAAAGCAGTGGCAACCAATAGAACTCCTTTGAATTTATTCTTCAAGAATGTTCCATCAACAACAATAACACGCCTCATGACTTTGTTAAAGCCTCTAATCGACTGACCAAATGCTAAAAAAAGATAGAAAAATCGACCATTGATGTCAGTCTCATAAGCGGAGTGTGTTCCCGGATTGGCCTCTTGCAGCATGTGCAAATACTTCGGTATTTTACCATAGCTTAGCTCTGGAATACCTCTGATGGCGCTGATTGCAAATTCACGAGAATTCCACGCCAAGGATTCAGATATCTCGCATCCATAATCATCACGCCTAATCTGAACAATATCTTTCGCTTTAGGACCTTCTTTGACGCCTTCATATTTAGCCTTGATCAGGCCTCCTATTGTTTTCGCTGAAGCTGTCTTACCGGCTCTACTTTTGCTAGAAGGTGCACAAGAATGTGTACCAACATACGTCTTAATAATAAAATATGTAGACCCGTTCATACATGCAGCTCGAACACCCCAATTGCAAACATTATCAGCGCATCTAATACACCAAACTGATTTATTGGATTTGATAACTCTGTAGTCAAAGTTATGCTTCATTGCACACACCTCAAACCTCGCCTTCAATACTGCTCGGTTGAGGAAAATATCTCCTTGCTTAACCAACTCCACCACAGAACTCTTTGATAACTTTTCTCTGTTTTCTTCTTCAGAGAAGATGGTGTCAGCAACATCAACATCAACATCTCCATCGATATTGTATTCTATCATCTTTCCTTTTTTCTTCTCATTATACTCATCAACACCATAATCATCACCATCAGTCTTGCAATGCTCCATCTTTTCTTTTCTCTTCTTGTTATGCTTAGCTCCTTTAACATTGACATCTGAATCGCCCCCATTGGCACAAGGATTTCGGTCCTCCTCTTCCACAGTACGTGAATCAATGGGCATCTCATTAAGATCAATGTCGATCTTATTTGGATTAGCTTCCTTCGGTTTATAGGAGACACATAACCGAGTTGTCTGATGCTTCTTACAAAACCCTAGAAAGTTGTGCACTTGGCGTGAGTTTCCGATGAGCACCGGTGGACATTCTGATGTGTCCATCAACCCAAAAGGTATGTAACTTAACTCCAAATCAGCATCCTTATCTTCGAAACCAAAATCCTCTATAACAATTTCCTGTAACTCTTCCAGAGAGGACTTCAATTGCAAAGCAAGTAACCTTCCCCCTTTTTTTCATCAACAGAAAACCTCCAACCTGAAGCTACAACCGATTCCCAAACACCACATGAAGCGTAGACATGAATCATGGTAGAAACAAGGTAAAGAAGAATGTGAAAATATTGAGGAGAAGGGAGAAGAGGCGTGAGAAGAACGTGACAATAACCGTGAGAATATTTTCCAAAGATTTTCCTTTTAATAAAACCTTTTTGCCTTTGAATTTTTTTTTTAAATCTAATTTTCCTCTTTTTTTAAAAAATCGAATTTTCCTTTTTTTAAAAAAAAAAAATCAAATTTTCCTTTTTTTTTAAAAAAAAATGGAGTTTTAAATATGGTAATAGAATATTCTCTAAGATATTCTTGCTATATTTTCGGATCTAATAATATTTATCCGTAGAATTCAGATTCTACTAAACGTAGAACTGTGTAAAAAGATATGAAATCAGTTTCTACGTGTATTAGAACGTTGTGCGAATTTAGATTCTGACTTCTACTTGTCTTAGATTTAGGTACGAATTTAGATTTCAACTTCTACTCTTTTTAGAACTATATGATAAGCGTGGAATGTGTATTCCAAACTATTTTAGATTCATGTTATCTCCATAGAAAACATATTCTGCAATTCGTAGAAATAGTGAAAAAAGTAGATTCCGTATTCTAATCCGTAGAATACATATTCTAATTTCGGTAGAATAGATATATGAAATTATTTTTACATATTTTTAAAACAAGAAAAAAATATCACTATATAGATATAGAGATTTCATCATTATGTACTATTTTTTTAAAAAAATTTGCTTCATAAATCTATTTTTTTTAATAATTTCGAAAATACATAAAGGGCATTAAAGTCAAAATTGGTACAAAATATAATTTATCCTAAAGGGACAATATCCAAACCTATTTGGTCTAAAAAAAACAGTTTCCCCAAGAAACTTTTAATCCAATGGTTAGATTTTTTTTTTGTTTTATCATCTAAAGGATATAAATTTCTTGGCAAAATAATTTTTTAAGACCAAAACTATTAGGAAGTTGTCCCTTTAGTCTAATCCCATTTAGTTATTGTTTCATAACGTTAATTTTTTTCTAAATGACAATAATACCCTCCTTAGAAATTTTTAATAATTCATAATTATACTTAGAAAATAATAGTAAAATTATTATTTTTAATTAAAAATTGTATTCGAAACAAAAAAAATAAAAATAAAAATAAAATAAAAAACAATATATTTTCGATTTAATCAAAAAGTATATTTGAAATTAAAAACAAAATAGAACTTAAAAAATAAAATAATATATTTTTATGTAATTAAAAAAGTATATTCGAAATTAAAAAAATTTAATTTTTTTTAAAAAACCCCATATTTGAAAACGGTTTTTCCTTTTTTTTTTTGTTAAATCGATTTTATAAATATGGCAACTGAATACTTGCAAATATTTACTTCCTATATTTTCGGATTTGGTTAACCTTATCCGTAGAATATGTATTAAACTAAAGGTAGAACTAATTAAGAATGTTTGAAATCAATTTATACAGGCTTTATAATGACAATACTCTGTAGATTCTGGTTTCTACATATTTTAGACCTATCGAAATGTTTAGATTTCGGTTTCTACCGATTTTAGAAGGAACAGTTTAAGGCAGAATGTGTATTCTAAAGTTTTTCAGATTACTATTATTTTCGTAGAACACGTATTCTGAACACTGTAGAATTTCTTAAAGAAGTAGATTTCATATTCTACGTGGTAGAAAACGAATTCTAATATTGATAGAACACAGTCATGAAATTATGATTTACACATTTTTAAAACTGTGAAAAAATATTACTAGATTGATATAGATATTTTATCAATATGTACTATTTTTAGAATTTTTTTCATGCATAAAACTATTTATTGATTAATTTACAAAAATAATAAAGGACATTAAAGTCAAAAATAGACCAAAATATAAATTAGCCTAAAAGGACAACTTCATAATAGTTGTGGTCTAAAAAACAGTTTCCCCAAACAGTTTCCCCAAATTTCTTTTGCTCTAAGTGACTTATATCACTAAAAAAACTATTTTCTTTTAGGCTCAAGATTTTTCTAAATGGCAACAATGCCCTTAAATTCACTTAAAAATCGTTAAAAATTAAAAATAAAAATCTTCGAATCGGGAAAAAAAGACGAAGGAAACTGCTCTATATGACGGGATCGATCGATCCCAGAATCAGACGATCAATCCACACGCTCTATCTCGTGATTGAGCAGTTTATTGAAAAAACGCGGAGCATAAACGGATCGACTGCTTTAGAGTCTAATCGATCGCGCCGATCGAAAGGAGGTCCAGGGTTTGAAATGGTGGAATCTGAGGAAGAGAAAGAAGAGGAAGGAGATGCCGATGCTGATACCGAGATTGGTGAGAGTAGTCATGTTACACCGGATGTGGATTCAGCTACAAAAAGAGAAAGAATGCTGACCAAGGAGCAGATGCGAGGAAGAAGAAGTTGTTGTGCCAGCTAGCTGCTTCAAACAAGTGGAGCGGGAGCACTGACACAGACATGAAGCAATTCTTCGAGGGTTTGCTAAAAGCTTCATTTACTGCGTTTGAGGGGAAAATTGTACAACAGGTCTCCGACAGAATCGACAAGATTGAAACAGAGGTAACAAGCAGGCTCGGGAAGTTGGAGAGTGAGGTTTCACAGATCAGGACCACGTTAGTCCTCTCCGAAATAGCAGGAAAGAGTGATCAACATACCGGTCCTAGCAAGAGTAGAGTAGACACAGCTCCTGCCTTCTCCCAAAAAGACACAGTTCCTGCCTTCTCCAAGAAAGACAGCGCTCCTGCCAAGACCAAAAAAGTCACAGGTCCACAAACAAGAAAGGTAACGAATAAGAGAAAGGGTTAAGGATTGTTGGATCTTGGAACTAGTTGTTTCGAAGTAGCTTTTTGGACCTAGGATGCTGGAACTAGGCGGTATGACATTTTGTTTGTCTAGTGTGGTATGTTTGCATTAGGAACTTGTCGGACGTATGTGTGGTATTATTGATATGTAATATCAGTTTAGACATTTTGTTTGTCTAGTTTGGTATGTTTGTAATATGTATTACTGTTGTGTACTATATTTTAAATTAAAACCTTATTACTTTTTATGTGTGTCATCAGGCTGTGAAAAAAAAAGAATTAATCATCGATGATCCGCTTATTGATTTATCTGGAGTAAACTTGACTCTATCACCAGGAATTGATGTGCATATGAGTACACAAGATTACTTGCAAAGCAGCTTTCCGGACCTTTCACAGGATACATTTGTAGAGGGTTTTGATCCTTCTCAACCTAAAACCGATGATCCAGGAACAGCATAGAAGATAACAATACCACAATTAAATGACCGCCAAATAGATCGTGCCCGCGAACCTGATGCACCATTGGTATATGTGTCTGATGAAGATTTCGAAAAAATGACGAACTGGCAGAACTTAAGAACGTAAGCTAATTACTAATTTATATTTTTGTATGATGTTGTCACTAATTTATACTTTTGATAACAGGAGTTTACAGGTTGGTCCATGTTTATTATTGGATGATATATGTAAGCGGGTTATATCTGCAAGTTCGTGGCTTCACAACATTGTAAGTATCCAACTCCTGACTTGTAATAAAATTTTGGTATTATATAAACTGTTTACCAATATCAGCCTTGTTATTGTAGGAGATTGATGCTATAATGTATGTTTTCCGTGAAAGAACAACACTTGGGCGATGGAAAACAGATCGTGTTGCTTTCATGTCATGCGAGTTCAGCGACCTCATTAGAAGAGAGTACATCAGTTTTACAAGGGATGGTGCGAAGAAGTACAAGATGGATGTGTTGCTACAGGAATATGGTAAAGGCGAACTGCCTGCTCACGCAAAAACAAGAAAGTTGTGGAGTGTTGTTGTGGATCGGATGTACGTTCCAGTCTGGGTCAAAAAGAATCACTGGATCTCGTTATCCATCAGTTTAGTGAGTAGGCATATCGAAGTGTTTGATTGTGCGGGTTTACAGAAGTACAGGGAGGTGGAAGCATTCGCAGTACTTATTCCTAGGATCGTCAAGGCAGTTCAGTCGGTGACAAACCAGAAGCACCTTACCATCAGTCCGTACGCTGTTAGCTATACCCCTATGCATAATCTCAACCAACGTGCTTGTCATTGTTGTATATGCTATAAAACACATAGAATGCCATGTGCGTGGAATGGATTTATCACTGATGGATGATGATAACATCAAGACAGCTCGAATAAGTATTGTTTGGGATCTCTTTGAAGCAGGTAATGATCCAGAGATGTTAGAGAAGATGTCCAAGTATGAGCCTCCCACATATAAGAGTAATGAATGTATTGACATTTCATAATCAAGTTTTTGGTTTTTTTTAGGATGTTTAAGCTATTGTATAACACTTGTTTTTTTTTAGGATGTTTAAGCTATCTTTACTTGCGGCAAGATTGAGTTTAGTGTAGAAATGAAAACTTATACCCAAAACTAGAAAAGAAAATGCTATTTATAAAGGGATCGATCGATCCAATAATCAGACGATCGATCCACACGCTCGATCTCGTGATTGAGCAGTTTATTGAAAAAACGCGGAGCATAAACGGATCGACTGCTTTAGAGTCTAATCGATCGTACTGATCGATCTGTCTGGATCGATCGATCCCATAGTCAGATCGATCGATCCCGTCTGGTTTTGCTCGGTTATA